AATATACAGTATCCAAGTACACTGTTTAAAAGAAATGAACAACATAAAGACATAATATTATAGCGACTCTTTATTTTGAAAGCTACTGATAATCTATTTATTCCTATTAACCAGCCAGCAGTTATATAAATCTTGGATAATATGTCAATAGAGAAATCGTACATTTCTTTAATATTCGTGTTTATAAAAGACATAACAAAATATGTGTCCTCACGAAGCAAAAACTATTATACAAATGGAAAAACTCGAAACGAGCTATAAGTTTGATGAATTCTATGTAATTATTAGTAAATAATACTTGGACCCTTTTAATGGTTCATCAGTGTAAAAGCATAGAATTTGTTGGTACATAAAAATGTGTATATAATTATTAAAAAGAATATTCCTATTCAAACTCGAATTATATTAAAAGTATTTGACTAGTAATTAAAATATTATTTGAAGTCAATTCATTACTTCTTAGAACAGATGATAACAGTAGAGCAACATAAAAATAATTACGTTAAAAGCGTTATCCTTTGTAGTATTTTTAACATGCTGCATTTGTTTATTGATTTCTACGATAATACTTTATTTGGGTGAATCGATACAGTCTACGTTTAATATTATATACATAATTGTACCATTCGGTTCACAAATCATGATTGTCCTTGTTCCTACAGGGTTCAGCAAAATATGTACTACTTTACCATTCATCTCTATTAACCTTCGTATCTGAATTCACTCTCTTCTTACTCATATCCTCTTTCACACAATCCATCCATATTTTCTTTTGTCTTTCTCTACCTTTGGAGGCATCCACTTTCAAACTTACTACTTTCTTATCTTTCCGCATAACATGGCTATACCACGCTAAGCTTTTGCTTTTCAACTTTGGTCTACAAATGTTAAAATATTTGTAGTCTTATCAATAGTGATGTTTTGAAAATCTTTATATATATAATTCTTCTGTGAGTGTGTATGTCACTGAACTTCTCTCAAACGACTGGACCGATTTTGATGAAATTTTTTGTGTGTGTTCAAGGGGATCTGGGAATGGTTTAGATTCACAATTTTGCCCGCTGTACAATGTTTTTTTTAATTAATTTTTAATTTATTAGTAGTTGTTGATTTTGGAATATTTTACATTGGATCCGACAGACGGCGCTACCATCGTGTCGCTACAATAGTGTCAAATTTTAAATAATATTCGAATTTTAATTTTATTTTTTTATTTTAATAGACAGGACAACGTCTGTCGGGTCCGCTAGTATATCTATAAAACTTATTTAATTCATAAGTGTATTTCGATTTGGAAGAAATTTTACAGCAATATTTTCACTCATTCCTTTCTTACAGTAAAGGACGTATACTGACGTTTTCTGTACAACTCGATATCATATTTCCTCCATGAAATAAATTCGATGTAACATTTCTTTCTGCAAACAATACGTTTCTGATGTATGTGGTCATTTTATCACTATTGTATTTTATAAAATTGAAAGTGATAAAAGTTGCTATAACTACTTGTTGTCTATAGAAATAGTTATCAATTGAATTGTTTTTATGTCAGAATCTTAATAACGATAGAATTTACCATTTTTATTAACGATTTCGTTAAGTTTAGCTTTACAATTTTTGTAAGCTAAAATTTATGATGACCAAGATTACTTTTCTTTATCTGACATCGAATATCAAAATAGTTAAGGCACTTTTTGTTGAATTCTGAAAATTAAAGTAGAAATCAGATATTGAATTGGGTTGAAAAACAATACAAATCTTTTGTGAAACCGAATTGCGTACAATAAAAACATTGAACATAAAATGAAATAGCAATTTGGTTTCTCGGAAATTGCGTATTTTTGTTTGCGTCTGCATATTTGTCACGAGACCGCGCAATTTGTCTTCACCTTATGACATGTCCGGGACAACTGGAGAAGTAACAAAAAGAAAATCATTTATTGTAAACTTTATACAACCTATATTATAGGAATCTTTTATTTTCCTTCACCGTAAGAACGTCGAATAAATGTACATACAAAATTCGATAATCGATAAACACATCGGTACATGGAGGTTATAGTACCAGGATTTTTTTTCTTTTTTTTTAGGGACTTTTGTTCTTTTGAACATGTCAGTCTTCTAACATTCAACTTAAGAACTAAATACAACTATAAGTATACAAGCAAACGACAAAGCAATAAAAAAATCAAGCAATGATAATACCAAAAAGAAGAAATAATATTCACAATTTCTACAAAGCCTTTAGCACCATGCTTCGGACGCCGTCTGCTAGATCCGACAATGGTTGTGTTGGCGACGAATATGTTCAATTTTGAATTATAATAATCAAGACGTCGAATATACATTTATCATCAAAATATTAATTGGCTTTTTAAAGGAACGGGCATCAAAAGGAATTTTTTGTAGTAAAGCAATAAAGAAGTAAAGATAATTTTAAAATACGAGAAACGAAATGTGCATTCCTTAAAGACAATAGAGCTGCAGATTGGCTATTTTTATTGCAGCCATTAGAGCAAGGAATTTTTGGACTTAAAATATTAAACAACAATAAAATTGAATATTTCTTAAAATTTGACAATAGATGCAAAAGACGGCCACGGCGAGGGAACCATAAAATATTTTAAGTTTATTGCACCTAATTTCTATAATGGCTTGCAAGATGTGCAAGAACCGTGGAACCAGATGCTAAGGAAGAATTCAAGTAAATAATAAGTATTTAAAAAAGTGATATTCGATAATAAGCGATATAGTGAAATTAATATGTGAAATAAGTGAGTGTCGCCACAGTTTTATCTCCAGTTAGAGTCAGTGTAACTCGTGTACGTCGTATTTATAGCTCTTAAGGTACATCGCCAATGTAATCTAAGTTTAATGTAAATTGTTTATAACCTAAGTATATTATAGTTGTCATTTATTGGATAGGTTATTTTTAATGTACATTCGCGTGAATTGATTGTTAGGTTTTTAATGTGTCATTGTCGAAGTAGCATCCCATTGCTCATACATGTTTATATAATTTTTGAACACAACATTTATGGAAACAATTTTAATAATTCATACATCTTAGATTGATTGTAGTCTGTAAATGACGTGTGTATTTTTATGTCTAAGCTGTCTGTCTTTATATTTGTGTTTAACCTATGTTTATGTTAAATAACATAATGTAGAATGTGTGTAATATAAATTATTTGTATTTTAATGTGTGTTAAAATAGTCTTATGCATAGGTTATAATTGTCGATGTTATGTTGTGTTCTATTTGTACTTTTAATGTTTTAATTTGTAAACATTGTATGATTATTTTCAAATAAAGATACGTCTAAAGGGTCAGTCGAAACATGCGGGGGTCCGAGCGCTACCTGCTTAGCGCGCTTATAAATAGGGCGCCGTTCGGCGCAACACCAGTCGCATCACAGCTTCTACCGAGACCACACGCACGCGTTTTGACTGACCCCGAGGAATTACACAATTTAATTTAAAGTGTTTCTCTTGGGCGATTTTCCTGCGTTTTTGGTCGTAGCAAAATTGGCTACTCTTTTGTGGGTCCTGGATCGGTGTTACCGGCGCAAAGTGAGGTCCGAGTTGCGTGCCGCAAGGTGCAAAACGAGGTCCCTTACTTTATCTTATTATCACCGATCACCCAATTGGGAGCTTGTCCCAGGCAGCGAGTAGGTAGTGCCTTTACGGGTGCTACCTAGCTTCAAGCAGCCGAAACAGCTGGTCCTTCGAGCCGGATCTTAAAGGCTTTATTTATATAGCCGATCCGCAAAAGTATTGCTAAATTTTTGAAGTTTTGTCGAAATATTTTTTGGAAGATTTGCCGAAACATTTTTTCAAGTTTTGTCGAAAAGTTTTTGGAAGTTTTATCGAAACATTTTTTAAATTTTTGTTGAATTTTTTGGAAGTTTTGTCGATGTTTTTTGAAGTTTTATCAAAATATTTTTTCCAAGTTTTTTTTCCTTTCCCAAATTTTTCGAAGTTTGTCGACATTTTTAGTTTCTTTGACAATTTCTCGGTTGTATTGTCGAAATATTTTTTGAAGTTTATCGACATTTTATTTGAAGTTTCGTCGACAATTTCTTTGTTGTATTGTCGAAATATTTTGAAGTTCATCGACATTTTATTTGAAGTTTCGTCGACAATCGTTTGAAATTTAAATAAAAATTTTGAAGTTTCGGCAAAAATGCCAGTGACTAGGTCACAGAAAAATACTCCTCTCCGGCCCCCGTCGGTGCCCTCTACAAGGCATACGGCGACTGTAAGCGCAAATATTGAACGGCCGGGAGGTTCCTGCGCATCGGCAATTTCGCAAAACACGCATCGTGCTACATCGACAGAAGTGGCGACCGCAAGAACGGCAATGTCCGCTATATCCGGACCAATGAACATGGGTGCCGTACGACGACAGGCGACTGAGCAAGGGAGCTCACGAAATATGGCGTTAATGTCCGGTGTAACTACAGCCGAGGCATTAACGAGACAAAGCTGCCGTTCAAAGTCTGTGAAGTCGACAAGCTCGTCTGTGAGAAGACGCGAGTTATTGGCCAAAGAAAGATTGGCTCAGGCGGAAGTTAATCTAGCTCGCATAGAGTTAGAGCGCATACAATGCGAGGAGGAGGAATGTTCGGCTGAGGAACCGGGCGATAATATGTCCCGGGTTGAAGATTGGTTGCATACGTCGCAACAAGGCGATTGCCAAGAAGAAATAAAGCCGTGTAATAAATATTCCCCTCAAGAAAATGAAGCCGCCGAGCAAGAATGCAGTTCGACAAAGAAAATTACGTCGGAAGTAGAAGCTCTCACAATCGCTTTAAAGGAAGCAATGTCTACAAGAGAAGGTTCATCTGCGCAGCCAAAATTTATTTATGAATTGCCTTTTTTTGACGGCAACATCGAAGAATGGCTGGCCTTTAAAGTTATGTATGAAGACACCGCTTTTATGTTCAGCAGTGTACAAAATATGGCGCGGCTGAGACGGGCAATTAAGGGCAACGCTAAAGAAGCGATTAAAAGTCTATTATTCTCAGACACAGGCCCAGACGAAGTTATGCGAGCCCTCGGCCGGAGGTATGGTCGTCCAGATGCTTTAGTTATGGCGGAGTTAGACAAAATAAGGTCGCTCCAACGTATAAGTGAAAACCCGAGCGATATATGTGCGTTCGCAAATCAAATAAATAATAGCGTCGCTACAATAAGAGGTCTGAAAAAGCCATATTATCTTCGATCACCTGAAATGTCAAGGCAAATTCTCGACAAGTTGCCGTCTGTTTTAAAGTTTAGATGGTACGATTACGCGGCAAAAATAGACGAAGACGATTGCTCGGACCTCGAGTCGATATCTACGTTCCTGAATAACGAGGCAGACAAATGTGGGGCCTTTGCCACTGTAAATCTAAAAAGCGGCTACAGAAGAAACACGAGAAGTTTAGTGAACTCTACACGTCAACTAGATCAAAGCGAGCCACAAACGAAAGAAATTAAATGTCCATTGTGCCAAGGCAATCATTTTCTTGTGGCTTGTCAAAACTTTAGGGACAAGTCCACACAAGATAGATGGGTAACGGTTAAAAGTATAGCCGTTTGTTTTAAATGTCTTCGTCATAAATTTACGAAAGGTTATTGTCGCAGTCCGCCGTGCAAGATATGCAGGCGAGGACACCACACAATGTTACATTATAAAAGAAGCGAACGTTTGAATAATGAGCAAGCCTCGTCACAAGAAGTTACAATCGAGGCGCAACAAGTCAACACGGTACAAGCCCAGAAAGCCTATCTTAAGATGATCCGTGTTGAAGTATTTGGAAGTAAAGGGTCTAAGAAAATAATGGCGCTTTTAGACGAAGGCTCTACAGTGTCTTTGTTGAACGCCGATGTGTCTCATGAAATTGGTTTATCAGGCCGCACGGAAAGTCTTGTTTTGGAAACCGTAGGCGGCAAACGCATAATTGAGACCGATTCTCAGAAAATTAACTTAAAGATAAAAGGAATTCACCAAAACAAAACGAGGGTTTTACAAGGCGTGCGTACTGTGCAAAATCTCAAGCTTGCGTCACAGTTATTAGAGAAGAAAAGGCTTGAAAATTATTCCCATCTGAGGGAAATTAGCGACACATTGTATTATGAAGAAGAACCACCTCAGCTTCTTATAGGACAAGATAACTGGGAGTTTATTATCTCTCGGGAGGTCAGGAAAGGAAAGCCCGGACAGCCTGTCGCATCATTGACAGAGCTCGGATGGGTACTACATGGGTTGGACAAGGGCAACGGAAAATGTGCAGGCTCCTCAGAGAAGTGTACACACTTAGTTGACGACGGGATTCTTGCCACTAATGCATACTCCGCAACAGAGGCTATCCATATGAAGAAGAAAAATCCGAGTGTTACAGACTCGGATGAGAAAACTTTGGCGCTTGTGAATAACACGCAACATCGGGATGAGCAATTTGAATACCTCCTGAAGAAGGATATAAATGAAAATAAGCGCAACAAGACGTCCGTCAAAAATAAATCACGTATTAACATTGAAAAAACTACGGCGCTTGTGAAAACTAAGAACAAGCGATTGACGGACGGACAAAGTGAACGCCTCTTAATAAGAAATCAAAATGGAGTTATGTTAAATTCGTCCGACAAAAATATTACAAGCAGGAAGAAAATTATCAGAAAACAGACAAAGCAAATGAAAACAGCATTCGAAAAGAAGGATGATAAAATATCGACTCTACCAAGGAAATCGTCGCATGACTCCCAGCATTCATCTCGTTGGAAATGGAATTGGCGAACGAAACAAAGACTGGGTACACCACCGGAAAACAAGTGTATCTCAGGGTCAACACAAGCCACAAGTTGCCGTGTTCAAGGCAATGTGAAAAAATGGCCAACGAGAACGTACCGAGAAAATTGTCTTGCTGGGATAACATACTAAGAACAAGCGAATGCGGCGGTAATGAGGCATATGGGCTACTT